ACACAGCCATGAACGAAGCCGTCATGGTGTGTAGCTTTGCATGTGTAGTACAAGTATAAAATGTTGACAACCAAAGCTTTTAACCTGATTTCAAGTTTAACTTTGGCTTCCAATTATTATTAAACCCAGATGATTAAGATAAAACAAACTACTGTTTTCTAATAATAGTATTATTTTGCCTTTTAGTACCTTAATTCCCTTTAATTTTACACTTCTCTAAAACTCCAGATTCATTCTGTTCACATTTTTTTATTAATTTATTTAAAATTAACATAATTTCAAATGGACTTTCTTAATTTAAAACTTGATTAAAACTTTGGACGGGGCCAGTACGGCTGCTGAGTGGTGAGCACAGGCAGTATAAAGCATGGATCTTAAAGGTGAAGCCAGCGCGGAAGTGCCTTAAACTTAAACCTGCGTTCTTCTTAATAGCCAGTAGGGGCCAACAGCTGGACTTCTAGTTGTATAGAAGTTAATAGGAGAACAACCTTCCAACCTGCCCTCTCTAAACTCTGTCCTGATGAGTTTATGGACTCACTGAATAAACATCAAGCCCAATTTGGAAATTTTAGTCATTCTAAGAGTCTCTAGAGGATAATCGTGGGTGCATTCATAGGGAAAAGGTGGGCGTTTTTACAGTGAAATGATGCTCAACTTGAGGCTTCATAATGGGACTTCACAAACCAGTGGACGTCTGGTTAGTAACCATGGTGGCTACTTCCATCTTTCATAGTGTCTGTAGTTTTGTCAGATCTGCCAGAGCAAAATGCAAACACAACATGTGTTTGCAAAAGTGTCACAGCGCTGTCTTGCTGTGAGCCAGTGATGCCCAACTCACCACTGTGCTGCTACTGGCCTCCATGCTGGTGGTGGATGCATGTACAAACCCCAGCAGAACTTCTCCATATTTAAGGTGGGCAGGAAAACTAACCAAACATTCCCCCAAACTCTTACCTAGATACAGCGAGGCATTCTCCTTCTTCACATTGTCGTCCAGGTAGGTGGGCCCCAGCGTGTAGATGGGCGTGGACCCCATGCCAACCAGGATCTGAGCGATGACGAACAGCGCGACGTACAGGTTGTGCTCGTTGCCCTCCTGGTCTCTGGGACAGGAAGTGATGTCAACGCGATCCCTGCTGCTGGCATTGCTATTCATGCACAGGCCCTCGTTGGCCGAAGATGAGTTGACCTCCTGGATCTGGTAGGGCGGGGAGATGAAATGAGGTAAGGAGAATAGGGCAGCACCCACAGCGATGAAAATGCCCCCCACTGCCAGCCAGCGAGGCCTCTGGCCCCGCCCACCAAAGTAGCTGATGAAGACGACCACCAGGAGGCTCCCGATGTCGAAACAGCTGACGAGCAGGCCGGACTCTGAGCTCCTCAAGCTGTACCTTTTCTCTATGGTGGTGATGACGCTGCTGAGGTAGCCAGACACCATGAGCGACTGGATGAACGTCAGGTAGCACATGCAGAACAGGAAGCAGCGAGAGTCCTGCAAGATGACGCCAAGGTGCTTCCGACTGGGCAGACGAATCTGAGCTAGCCTGGCTGCGAAAAACCCCGGGGGCTTCCTCCTAGCCATGTGTTTACTCCTTCGGATCTCCGTGTTCTCCATGTACGAGGTCGGCCTATTCAGCGCCGACTTCCCTGGCTTTGGCGGGTAGTTTGCTCTCGTTGGGGACTCGGCCTGGAACGACTCAGTGTTGGGCGGGATCTGGATGAACTCTGTGCTCTCCTCGGCCGTTATGGACATCCGCACTGAGCTCGCCAGTAAGGTTTTCTCCTGAGATGCAGCTTCGCTTAAAACAGGCAAACTTTTTGATTTGAAGTTCGTACCTGGATCCTCCACCTCGCTGGAAAACCCATCCTCCTTCTGAAGGGACTCGGACAGCTCTGCTTCCTCGTGGTCGGCCATCATTTTCAGTCAATTTTCTTTAGAGATTCAAAAAAAACAAGCCGGCCCAGTCAAAGAACACATTTACAGTTCAGGGGCTGCTGGCCATCACATCTATTATTAATAGGATCACCTACTCCCACAAAGAGACCCAAAAAAGCAACAATGACAAGCACGCTCACAGCCTCTACTTTATCTCTGCTGCAGGACAGCAGACAGCTCTGGGATTGTTTATCTTGTCATGCACACTTGCCTTCTGCCACCATCCACCATAATCCGGAGGTGGAGACCGCTCAGGCCTCCTCTGCTCGGCCAGCGGAGCTCCGGGGCCAGGGCTCCCTGCAGATGCTTGCTTCAGCAGGACGCTGGTGCTCCTGGGTCGGGAGCAGGGATGACATTAATTCACAGAGCATCCCTGACAGCCCTGCCGATGCAGATCACACAGCCGCAATAATGTCACTTCTTTCATCAGGTTGCATGATCGTCGTCCCCTGCTCCTCCTAACTCCTGCCCAAGTCAAGGGCAACCCCGACTCCAATGTTATCACCGCACCAGCTGTCCTCCCAGCGGGCGAGGGGGGCTGGCATTTAGGGATTATCTTTCGGTGCAAATTCCTGGGGAGGAACATGAACGAATAAAAATCAGGGAAACGGGGAGAAGTCGTCGAGGAGAACCAAAGACAGCGAGCAGAGACAGAGCTGCAGCTCACTGCAGTGCTGCTCGGCTGCTGTCTGTCGCTGTTTTGAAAACAACCAGGTTCCATCCAGGAAACACTTCAAAATAAAAGCTACAATTTTAGTGACAAAACTCGCAAGACACACAACATCATAACTGTGAAATGTAATGGTCATTTCGGGCTTTCTAGACTATTTAAGATAATATAGCTTGCAGTAACTTTCCCGACCAATGCACGTTTTCACAATTATCTCCACACGGCTTCAAATATTGCAAAAATAAATAAAACAAAAAACCGGAATCCCATTAACTGTATATTACATCTAAAAAACGTTTTCTGTGTATATTCACGTGCCTCTATATATAATCACTCTTGAACATGTGACTGAATCTACGATGTTTAATATTAAATTCGGTCTGCTTAACACAAACAGAATAAATTCCTAACAGCAAAATTAGCAAATTAGAAGAAAGGCCGTCGGAATTATCACAATTTTACTGTTTGTTTGCTTGTTGTTGTTGTTCTTTTTAATGTAGGGTTTACAATATAATGTATGGAAGATTAAAATGTTTTATTTTGAAAAGAACCATGGCTAACGGCCATACAGCTAGCGGCTAACAACCCGTAACAATAACAATATCGACATTGTCTTTCATTAACCTGACATACGATAAAGATGAGACATCATTCAGACCTTCATGTCCAACTTCCACTAAATAAAACTCAAGGGCTGGTAGTGAAGAGTCATTCAAGCAACGTCCATGTTAAAATATTCCACATCCAAAACATCATGTAGCAAATTAGTGGAGAAAATACCGGAAAAGTGTTTTCAAAATAAAATAAAAGCGTCAGAAAAAAGGGGGCGATCGCTCATTAAAGCAAGGGAACTTTGGAGATTCAATTTGAGGAATAGCAGGTATTTAAAATACCAGTTTGGCCAGTAGCCGATGCACCCGAGTTTGTTTATTTGTTTGTTATTTATTCATACTGTAGTGTCAAATCAAAAGATAAGCTAAACTGTTTCAAATCTTTCAGCTCTTTGACAAAGATAGCAGATGTAAAGAGCAAAGAACACCCCCTCTGTGTGAGAGTAAAAAAGCCAAGCAAAGGTTAGACGAAATTTCGAGTTATTAGGTCAGAGGCTGAAACAAGTTTCCACAGGTATCAGTCAGTGAGGCCAATACTTGAATATGTGACCAATATATAAATATTAAATTAAGCCTTTTTATCTTACATTTTTATCTAGATCATAAAATAGAGAGAAAATAAAGAGTTTAGATAAAGGTTAAATATAAATTAAAATCTAAAAAAGTGAGAACAATGAGATTGTGAAAAAAAAATTAGAATACAAAAACACATACTGCATGTTAAATATACAATATACACTTAATGATAAGTATTTATTTATTTGTTTAGTTAAAACATCATGCAGCATAATAAGCATAATGTGGTTTCAAACTTCTCTGAGGGCTAAATGAAGACCTGCAATGCTTTGCCTAAAGTATGTAGATACCAGTGTTGGTCAAGTTACTTGAAAAAAGTAATCAGTAACTAATTCTGATTACTTCCCCCAAAAGTAATCCCGTTACTTTACTGATTACCTATTTTCAAAAGTAATTAGTTACTTAGTTACTTATTTAAAAAATGATTTACAACCTGAACAGGTAATAAAGCAATAGATCTTTCTATTTTAATCCATCATATAAAATGTAATCAAATGAAAAAGTCTTGTTTTATTAGTTTTAGTCTTTTAACTTTATGCATGAAGCAAACATTAAATTATATGCAACATTCTCTGACTGGAAGAAATTTGTTTAACATTTAAACTTATTTTCTGCACATTCCAGCATATAAAATAAAATAGTTTTTTGTGTTTACACTCACTCTTTCAAACAGATGCAAGTAAAACACAGCAGAAAATAAATAAAATCAAAGACTAGCGGTCCTGTTGCTCTATTTTCACCTGTATAGCAGGAGTGGGGCAGGAGGTTTGCCCTGGTGCAGGTGTGTTGCAGAGGTCAGTGGAAGGATCTGGGAGTTTCACAGTCCCGTGGCAGCGTACTGTCGGTGCTTGCTCAGATGTTTAGGGGTTTTTTTCGCTGTAAAAAGAAGTTTGCTTCCCACGCAGTGAACAGCAGACGCTAATGTTTTTGTCACTTTTTACGGAATCAAACGCAGCGTGCTTACGGGAAAGTAACAGTAATCTAATGACCTTTTTTGCAATAGTAATCCCTTACTTTACTCATTACTTAAAAAATGCAGTCGGATTACAGTAACAGTAACGCGTTACTTGTAACGCCTTACTGCCCATCTCTGGTAGATACATAAGAAAAAACATATAAAAACCACAAATATTATTATCAGGCATCCAAATTCAAAAACAACCCAAAAAAATGAGATGCAGACACTGAGCATGGGAGCAGGCATTTACACCCATTTAGCCAGATGAGACCTTAGAGAAGTCCAACACTGATTTTGTGCAACAACACGTCCACAATCATTGTTTCAGTTCATCGCAAAGATGAAAGATTAAGTTACAATTATCATGCAGATTGTCTTTATGGACCCAGCTTTGCTGGCATGAACACTATCAAGTAAACACTGTATAGGGGCTTCCACAAGAGTTTGCAAAAGACAAGATTATTTAAGTTCAGTAGCATGAAGAAACATTTGAAAACAAAAACTATAATAACTTACAAAAAACACAATAAAGTAAAATCTTTTATTTTTTTTATTAAATTTGCTAAAATATAAACCAAAATGAGGAATTTGTACATGTGTTTATTGAGCGTGTGATGTCTACATCTCACAAACAGTCAAGTGTCGTTTGAAAATTAAACATTCTCAAAATAGAAACTCATAGAAACAAATAGCCAAAAAAAACTTATCTCTGGAAACTAACTGAATTAAAATCCAGCTAAAATAAAACAAAATATTAACAACTAATGAAAAACAAACTGTAAAAAAAAAACAGACACCATTTAAAAGTTTACAAAGGGTGTCCATATACTTTTGGGATATGAAGGTAAGTGACCTGAGCTTGAGAAAAGAGCACAAGAACGCAGCGACCTCTGGTGGTTAATATGAAAACAACAAATACAGAAACCTGCATTTAAATTAATCACATTTTTCACATTATTATTAATATTTAACACATTTAAAATTACCCTCATGATTAATATTCACAATAAAAATATTAGCCAAACATCATGAAGTCTGTATGTGTTTCATAGTCCTTCATAGTTATAGTCCTATGGGACTATTAAGCTGAAGTCCAGCATAGAGCGGCTGAGTGAATGTGGTCTGGACCCTGTGGAGGAGAGTCATGGTTTCAGAGACGCTGTAGAAGGACAAAATACCTGCTCTGTGATCCAGGTACACTCCTACTCTGGAGGAACGAGGACCTGAGACAGGAGTGGTAATATATGTTTGAAATTATAACGATGTTTATAAAAACCCAAAGCCCACGACTTGTCATTTTCTCCAAATTTGTTTTCAGTGTTTTTATCTTTGTATGCCACCACCACTAAAGCACCCCCTGAATCTTTCTCCACCTCCCAGTAACAACGTCCATCAGACTCTCTCTACTCAGAACCTGACCTCTAGCAGTACATCTGTCCGGATGATTAGGATAACATTGTATTACCGTCATGAATGTCGCTTTTCTGTTTTTTTTCTGATAGTAACACATATTTGTTTGCTGTGTTTGGATCCAGTGTGATTTCTAGGGGTGCAACTCAAAATTCACGGTTGGATATTTTTTCGATACAAAAAAATGTTCATGCCTTTTTAATTTGTCATTTATTAAAATTATAAATATATATTTTAACTCAAAAGTACAGTTTTTAAATTTAATGTTGCTGAAACAACAAAGTAATAAAAAAAATAAATCTATCT